TACGAGTTTGGGATAATCTTGATGCAAAAATGAGAGATTTACTTTTTAGAAAAGGGTCCCATATAAGAGAAACTAATCTCAAATTCCCCAAACAAGGTTTTAATGAGACCCCAAAGTGTTCTTCCTTATCTTTTGTATATTCTTATAATTTTAATAAAATTAATTAGTTGATAATTTTTTTTTTAATGTTTAATTTGTATAAAGGGGCACACTTGAGAAAATTTTCCCTAGGCCTTAAAAAATTGAGGACTCTACTCAGACCCGTTAGAACCACATACACAATTTATTAAAATCCATTTAAGTGATAACTGAGAAATAAACAAGCATTTAATCTCGCCCAAGTTTCATTCAGGCTTTAGGCGCACCAACATATTCAAATCCGAACCCAACAGAAATAATATCCAATAACCATATCAAAATCCATTCACGTACTCAGAATCGGTCAAAACTTTTAAATATAGTTTATTTCGTAGCTGCACCTAGGTCAAACCCTAAGCTACCTACATACCCCTTTTTAAGGGATCAAGCCACACGTTTCTTTAAATCACCAACTAAGCTCCAGTATATAAACATACATAAATTCAATTTGAAAGGAAAAATCACCAACTTATCTCAACAATGTAATACAATGAAAATTTACCAACCAACCTGTTCCGCCATACCACTATACCTTAAATAATGTCAACCCTTATACCTTAAGGCCCTGTTTGGTAAGCTAGACGGGACTGGAGTGGACTGGATTAACCCTTCTACATTACACTGGACTGGTTAGAATATGACTGGATTTTAAGAAGTTGTTTGGTGCAGTACAACACCAAAGTTGAGATTAGTATGCCATTTATTTATTTATTTATTTTTATATTCTCATTTTCAAATTAATTACTACAAAATAGATTTTCAATCCAACAAAAAAATACAAATATAAAATAATGGGTGGAAGCTAGAAGACGAAAGGCATGAGGTGGAGTTTGATGGCAGCAACAGGTTCCCTGAAGTAGACGCCAGCACTCAAGCTTTCACTTCCTCCCCAAATACCAGTTTTTACCTACTCTTCATCAGATCTTGAATTTTCAGCCACCTCCCTCATATCTCAAAGAACAAAAAATTGCAAAATTATATATATAAATAAAGAGGAAGAAGTTATGAATGCCCTTCACCAATTTTTTCTTCCACCATATGCCTTTCATTCAAGATTTGAGGTCTATATATGGCAACGAAGAAGATTTGGCAAAGGAGAAGAGAGAGAGGATCTGAGAGAAGAGAGAAGAGGAGAAAAGAAGAGAAGAGGGGAAGAAAAAGAGAAGAAGAGAAGAGAAGAGGGGAAGAGAGAAAGAAGAAGAAGAGAGAGAACAGAGAAGACAGAGAAGACAGAGAAGCGAGAGAAGAAGAGAGATGGCTGGAGGCGTGCTCTCTGGCTTCGAAACCCACGTCTGGGGTTGGCGAAACCCACGTCTGGTGTTGGGTTTCTAAGCCCCAATTATTTGGGACTTGGATCCAAAGTCCATATCCAGTCCTAGACACACTTTAAGTCCACCAAACAATGGATAGGACTCATGTCCATTTTAATTGAAAATATCCAGTCCAGTCCAGCTTACTAAACGGGGCCTAAATAATATCAACCCTTTTTCTTTGAAACCACTCACCTTGATACTCTAGCACTCAAGGGCGGATCCAAGAATGTTTCAAGAGAAGGGCAATAACTATTTTGGTACTACCCAAAGGCTGAATAAAAAAACATATTATGAAATGAACCAGAGCCTAAGTTAATTTTAAGGTTGATTAGCACGGTAAAATGAATACAAAAAATAAAAATAAAAACGTACTGTCACAGTAAAATGATTAAATCAACAAACAAGTTGGTATCAATCAAGTCCTAATTAAACAAAAACTCTAACAATTAGATGATATTCAAATTGTGATTTGAGAGCATCGTGCAAGGCTTCTTCAAATTGGGAGCATCGAGGCGTAAGCCTTTGGTATTTCATTACTATAATGAAATATTTATTATAATAATTATAACCAAGTAATTGAAGCAACCGGAATGAAACACGTGTTTCATTAAATAAAGGAAATACGATGTCGTTTGTAAAAAATAAAAACAGGGTTGTCTTCTTCATTCGCGAACAAGAGCCATCATAAGCGACACGCCTCTGTAACTCCTCTGCAACACTGCGGGTGCCTCTATGTGTAACTTGCCAAAAGAATGGCGCCTTGATGCACTTTCAAGTACGGCACGAGCACAACCCGACAAGGTACGGCCCGTATCTTTGGGCACTTCCGGGATAAGGTAATTAGGCCCAACGGGCCGGGCCAGCTCATGACCTATTGGGCCCAACAGGCCGGCCCGTTTAAAACCCATTTATTAAATACATTTGTTTTAGAGAAAAATAATACATAATATTATTACATTTATATCTTAAATTCAAGTCTATTTCTTTTCTCAAATAATATGTATTAAAATTTAATATTTTCTTTATAAATAGAATAATGATTTTTTTTTTCAAGTTTCACTTTTAAAATCCAAACAATAATCTAGTCATTTTCTATTTAAATGTACTTAAAAAAAAAGTTATAGGCCATTGTTGTCAACAAATAATAATTCTTGTTAGTATATACATAATTGTAAAAAAGATTTAAATGAAGTTGTAAACATAATTACAAAAAAAAAAAAAAATGCAATACATAAGTAAAATTTGGCATGGGCCCATGCGGCCCATTTAGTGGCCCGACATGGCCCGTTGGACACCTCTAGGATCGACGCACGCCATGAAGTGCGCCTTGATAACACCTTTTAAAATGCTAAAGAGCAAATGGGCAAATCCAGCACCTCAATGGCTTTTTCCGGCGAGGGGAGGTGCAACTGCACCTCCTTGCGCCTCTGTAGGTCCGCCACTGCTAGCACTGTACGTACAGAATAAACCCGCACATGACGCCTATTATAGCATCAGTCAGGTAGAATACAATTTAGCTGCAAAGCAACTCCTAGCACAACTCGATAACTCTTAGACACAAATCCTCACACTACTCAAGGAGAGTACTCAACCTGAGAACACATTCCTCGCATAACTCTGGTAATCTTGAGAATGCATTCCTCGCAGAATGCAATCCTGAGAACGCATTTCTCGCAGAACTTAGGTAAACCTGAGAACGCTTTCACAGAACTCAAGTGAACATGAGAACACCCTCACAGAACTCAAGTGAACATGAGAACGCCCACACAGAACTCGGGGAGTAAACTCTACCCGAAATTGCATATCCTAGCAGAACTTGGGGAGTAGACTCTACCCGAGAACGCCCTTGCAGAACTCGGGGAGTAAACTCTACCTGAGAATGCAATCCTGTTTGTTTCCCATCCTCTCAAGCCATTCTATAAATTATTTCCCAATTCATTCTTCACATTCCAACCCTGCGTCAAACATATAAACCAATTAAAAGTTTCAAAACCAAAGTTAACATATAAGTCAAAAATACCATTAAATTCTTACTCATGCCAACTCCCCTTACCCTTTGGCTGAAGAAGGAAATAAAATAATGGAGAAGAGGATAAGAGGAAAGGAATAAAAGACTTTAAAGCAACAAACATATGATAATAAGGACCCAAAGAAAGGAATTATATCATTTCGAAATCTAAAAAAGTAACTTAATGTGCTTTTTTAGTGAACTGGGGCAAAGCATCAGCTATTGCGTAAGAAATTTTTTGAAACTTTTATACTGAGATCTCTTGGCCCGAGCATCCTGGATATGTCACTGTATTAGGATGTCAATTATATTAACAACAGTTGGAGTTGGAGTTGGAGTTCGAGTGATGATCAGTTTTTCATTGATCTTATACCCAAACCCGCAAAGGAAAAGAGGTGTCAAGTTCATTTTTAACCTCTAATAATAATAGTGTGGTGTTTGTACGTTTACATTAGAATGTGTCTGTTCTGCATATGGTGGTAGTGGATGTTCAATGTCTATGTTGAGGATTCCAATCATAATTTGTATTGTTGTGATCTCCGTCTTTGTTAAGATAACCTGGGTATCTTTTTTATTTTTTTATTTTATGAAAATAACCTGGGTATCTTTCATTGTCGACAAAATGGATGGTTTTATATAACTACGGCTTGTTTTGTAATAATATCTTTATGAGTGCTGCTAAACGAACCCTGAAATTAATTGAGTATATTTTGTAATCTAAGTACACCCTAATATTTTAATCAAAATGTAAAATTAACTAAGTACACCCTATTTAAATATCAAAAATACCCATGGTCCACCCTAATACACTCTATCGCACATCACCTTAATACCAATTCTAAACCATGTTTCTCTTTTTACATGAAATCGTGCCCTCTTCTCAGATTTTTGGTTTGCATCAAAATCTTTAATTTTGTAAACTGTTGTGGAAGTAGATTTGGTAACTCCTTCAATTCAAAGCTTGATTTTTGTAAAACTATTTTAACAAAATATACCAGACAAAACCAAGAGGAAACATTTGAACGTATCATAGACTTAACAGCGCTGGGGTATTCAGCCAAATATGACATCCATTCCATTCCTTTATTGAACTGAGTACACCATCTTGAGAAGTCCATGGCTAATCCTTAATGTCTAAGTGAATCCCATCTCCCATTTTCTCCATCATAGATTTTCTAGCGTTACTGCCAGACAAAACCAAGAGAACATTTGAACGTATCATAGACTTAACAACGATGGGGAAGAAATGTATGATATAGACTTACTCATGCCAACTCCCCTTACCCTTTGGCTGAAGAAAAAAATAAAATAATGGAGAAGAAGATAAGAAGAAAGGAATAAAAGACTTTAAATCAACAAACGTATGATAAGGATCCGAAGAAAGGAATTATATCATCAGCTATTGCTTAAGCATTGGTTTATTAGACTTTAAAAAAGTAACTTAATGTGCTTTTTTTAGTGAACTGGGGCAAAGCATCAGCTATTGCTTAAGCATTGGTTTATTAGACTTTAAAAAAGTAACTTAATGTGCTTTTTTTAGTGAACTGGGGCAAAGGGTAGGTGATGAAGCATTTAGCGAAGCCGGGAAGTTCCCCGCCAACTCAATCTTCGGTAAGAAGGAATAAAACGATGATATCAATTATAATTAATTGTTTATTTGTTTCCTTCCTCACATAGAAATCTAAACTGGGAATGATTTACAGATTCGAAGCGGTTAATTGGTAGGAGATTTAGTGACGCATCTGTTCAAAATGATATCAAGTGCTGGCCATTCAAGGTCATTGAAGGTCCGGCTGACAAGCCCATGATTGTGGTTAACCACAAGGGTGAAGAGAAACAATTTGCTGCTGAAGACATCTCATCCATGGTTTTGGCAAAGATGCGGGAGATTGCCAACTCCTACCTTTGCTCAAGGATTCCAGTAAAAGATGCAGTTATCACTGTCCCCTCTTACTTCAACGACTCTCAGCGCCAGGCAACAATACAAGCTGGTAAATTAGCCGGCTTAAATGTGCTGCGTATTATCAACGAACCAACTGCTGCAGCCATCGCTTATGGCATCGACAAGAAGGCCAGTTGGTTTCGTAAGAGAAATGTGATGATATTTGATTGGGGCGGCGGTACTTTGGATGTGTCACTACTTACCATAGGCCATAATGTCTTTGACGTGAAGGCCACTGCCGGAGACACTCACCTTGGCGGTGAAGACTTGGATAACAGAATGGTGAATTACTGCATCCAAGAATTCGAGAGAAAACATAAGGTGGGCATTGGTGGAAACGTCAAAGCTCTTCGGAAGGCCAAAATTGAGTGTGAGAAAGCAAAGAAGGTACTTTCATTTTCGTTTGAGGCTGTTATTGAAATTGACTCTTGGTTTAAGGGTGAAGATTTTCATACAACTTTCACCCGCGACATGTTTGAAAAACTGAACATGGATATCTTCAATAAGTGCATGGAGCCTGTGAAAAAGTGTTTGGAGGATGCCAAAATCGACATCAGCGACGTCGATGATGTTGTTCTTGTTGGTGGGTCTTCTAGAATCCCCAAGGTGCAAGAGCTACTGCAGGAGGTTTTCAACGGTAAGGAATTGTGCAAGAGCATTAATCCCGATGAGGCTGTCGCTTATGGAGCCGCTGTTCAAGCTGCAGTCTTGAGTGGGAACGTGACGGGGAAGCTTCAACACTTCACACTCTCAGATGTGATCCCTATGTCACTTGGGACGGAAGTTCGTAAAGAAAACCTCATGAATGTTATGATCCCCAGAAATACCAAAATTCCCACCAAGAAGCACAGAACTTTCGTTACCCGCTATGACAACCAAACGTCCGTCCGTTGTGGAGTTTTCGAGGGAGAGAATAAGTTCACCAGAGATAATAATTATTTGGGTGGATTTACCATAGATGGCATTCCCCGAGCTCCAAAGGGAGTTGGTGAAGTAGATGTTTGCTTTTCTATCGATGCAAATGGAATTCTGAAAGTTTCCGCTGAGGTCATGTCCACCGGCAAAAAGAAAGCAATTACAATCAACAGGTCATAGATGAACTCTGGGAATTAACAGGATAAGTAAGTAATAACTATTAATGAGATGTAGTTAAGGGCATATTGATACACTATAAAATCAATTAGTTATATTTTTACATAAATTGTTTTACTTATGCCAGGTGATCGGAAGCCTTCATTTTGCTGGGAACTACTCCTTTTGGTGCAGGCTGTTCCGATGTAGGTGCGTTGTTCCATCATGGGATTCTTGTTTTTTTTCTTCTTCTTTTGCTAGAAAAGAGTTGCGTGGATTTAATTGTTGTTTTCAATAAGATCATGCTTGTTTGATTATGAATTAAATTATATATATGTTTATGTATTCTATAAGCTCTCCACGAAGCAATATACAACACCTAAGTGCAACTGATTACTGCAACTATTTTTATTAAAAAAAAAAAAAAGAAGCGCACGCACAACAGCTCCTGCAAACAAAAACTTCATTTAGGCATTTTGTCGAACACCTACGCTGCAACTCAAAGGTTGAGCAGAGGTGCAATATGCAGCACTTTTTATGGATTTTTCAATGAGGGAAGGTGTAGCTGCCAACGGAACACAAATACTGGTGGGGTTACACACAGTGTAAGGACTAGGGGTGGGCATCTAAAACCGAAATACCGAAACCGTACCCTAACTGAACCGTACCATACCGATTTCATACCGTTTCATTTGGGATGGGGAGATATTTGGTACCGTACCGTACCGTACCAATAGAGTATGGTATGGTAGCGATATCAAGTATTTGTTACCGGTCAATACCGTACCGTACCGAATAGTTCTAAAATATAATTTATTTATTTTCATTCTCTCGCTGTCTCTCACTTGCCTCTCAAACGCCAAAGCCAAACCCTCACTCTCCTCCATAATTTTAACTATTTTGGTTTGTAAGCCATAAGGCATGAGTTTAAACCATTTGGATTTGATGAATCTGTTGATGGATAAATATTGATTTGGTTGATTTGGATTTGGTTGATTTGGATATTGAATATGTTGAATATTTGAATTTGTAACTTAGGCATCACTTATTCTGGTGAATGAATATGTTGAATTTTGAATTGGTTCATTTTTTAGTTGTGTCATTTTTGTACCGAAATGGTACCGATACCGTACCGATATCGATTTGGCACGGTACGAATTTTGACAAATGATAATCCCATACCGTACCATACTGATTTAAATTTCCGGTATCGGTGGCGGTACGGGCTCAATACCGTACCATACCGTACCGTGCTCACCCCTAACTCCAACCATGCTTCATATCCACCTCCTAAAATAGGGAGACCACTAGGAGCTCCTAAATCTGAGGAAAGAGAAAGGACTCCTAGTGGCTCCATATAATTTGATCCTCTCTTATTTTTTTCTATCATATGCAACAAGAATTTTTAAAAGCCAACACTGTAACACCTCTGACCCAATTTAATCGTCTTGTTCAATTTATATAATTGTGAAATTACAATTTTGCCCTCGGACTGTAGTGTCACTTTAGTCACTTTTTGATCCAGAAGGATTTTGGGGAAATGAGTGGCACCATTGCATAGAGCTCGTCGATACGAGTTCATAGACATGTGGCACGCCCAATTCCGAATTGTAACGAAGGAAAAGTCTGAAAACGAAAAGGATGTAAATGGAATTTTTAAATTTGTTATTGTAGAAAACAGTACCACTACAGTACTGTCATGTCCGAACACACGGATTTAAGTAACCTTGGGTTAAGACGTGATTCACACTTTAATTATAGAATTTAATAAAAACTATAACTAAAATGTGAAGAAATTTTATTAATAAAATAAATATTTCACATAGAATATTCAACGGAAACGACAACAACTGAAATCTTAAAATTTGTACGTTATTTTAGAAGTTAGACCTACGCCATAGTCGCATAGACAAGTACTTCATAAACGCAGGCTTCAGAAGGAGCAAAAGCAAGCCTACTCTCTACACCAAAATTGAAGGTAACACCGATATCTTGATCGTCTCTCTATATGGGGATGACCTTATTATCTACACTGGAAACAATGAAGAAATAATTCAAGAGTTCAAAGAAGATATGACAAAAACATTTTAGATGAGTGACCTTGGGTTGGTGCACTACTTTTTGGGCATTGAGATAAACCAAGAAAAAGATGGAATCTTCATATGCCAGAAAAAGTACAAGGTAAGGAGGGGTTGGGGTGGAAAGAAAAAGCAATAGGGATTGGTTGGGGAAGAAATTGGGTTGTGGGATCTAAGATTAAAACAAGGAATGGCGAATTGAATTAAAGGAAAACTGAGATGTGAGCTTGGGTTGTGTAAACGTATTAGCAAAGATTGATGTGTGAGGACGATGAAATACCACCAGGGGTATGGAAGCTCTCACTAGGAGAGAGAAACTCTCAAGAAGAGAGAGAGTTGTGCTTAATTTTTGTAATTTTGTTTATGTTTATTAACTTTGGTATTCAATTTTCACATCTTCCTAAAAACGTAGGCATTCTCTCTCACGCCATTTTCCTCCATAACAAGAAACAACAAACCCAACCCATATAGTAAGGAAGATTGACGCAAGGAGGAGGAATGTTGATCTCTGTGTTTTGTTTTTCCTTTTTTTTTTTTTTTTTCTAGTGCTGCTAAATTAAAACTTCTATTTCCCCTTGCTAAGAAAAACAAAAAAAATCAAGCATAGGGAATATGACTAAATTTCTAGATTTTAATATACATGGAGACTTTCCAATCAACCAAAATAAAAAGAAAGGAGCCATGGTTGCTGCTTCTCTCAGTCAATTATTTGCTAACTTATTACATATTGAAATAAAATTGAGATTACTGAAAGGGGGAAAAGAAATTGATTGAGATCCATTGTGATCATCCCTAATGAAATTTCAAGATACTAAGAGCATGATTACCCTGCCCTCCCATGGAAGTCCCCCAAATTCATTCTGATTCTAAGTGGAGAGAAAGTTGATGTGTTTTCTGATCCTAACGATCCCATATATGCTGGGTATTTTCTCAAACTCCATATGCATTGCTGTCACGCCCCGGACCCGGGGGTAGGTGGAAATCCCGCGCCCGGTGCGTGAGAAAATAAAAAGTAAAATAAAATAAAATAAAAAGAAAGCCGAAACATAAAATAAACTTTTCTTATAAAAATAGCTCCCAAAAATCTTTACAACTTTACAATAAATAAATAAAGCTCAATCACTCTCATCTAATTCAGCCTGAACGGTTTAGTCCTTGTCTTGCCCACTAACTCAACTGAAAAATTAAACAGGGTGAGGAATGAGCAACTACCGCTCAGTAGGGACATGAGACCTTACCACAGCAGATTGATATAACTCCAGTATATGGTTTATTATGTGTTTCTAAATCTCAGTGCTACGGATATTACTCACCGGTTCAAGTGCTAGTGGAGGTGGATGTTTCTTTATTATGATATTTTAATGGAATTTTGCTTCATGATTGACCCGATGCATCTTATGTGGGCTATTTGCTGGAGGTTTCTTCCTAGTCAAGTAATGAATGCTTCCCTTTTCAAAAGCAAAGGATGGAGGGTCATAATGTGCACCCCCTCCTCGCTATAATATCTCTCCAGACTCATGATCATTTCCTACTTATATTACTTTCTGTAGGCCCTTTGTTTAAGTCTTTGTGTTTTCATTAGCTTCATCCGTTACTTCGGCAGTTTTATCAATCCAAGGATTCCAGCCAAATTCCATGACATGATATAATTATGCATTTCAAATAATAATAGCATGCATAATATATTGTTCACAAAATTTAATTAAATCAATCTTTGCAAAAGGCCCCCAAGAAACCCCTACCTTGATTCCAAAGCAATACACCAAGAAAATACAAGCTAAGCCCTATATCTCTTCCAAGAGTTTCATCACCATTCTCTCTCTCTCTCTCTCTTTTATTTCCTCGTTCTATTGCCTCTACTTTTCTGAAGAGGGAAATGATAATTGAAGAAACAATGGTTGTATTTATAGGATTTCAAGGTATCGGGTTTTCAAACCGTCGTAAAATCGACCGACATCTTTTGCAAAGTAAAACCACGACGGGAAATCACCGTCGTTGTTCTAACAAACAACGTCATTAAGAAAAAACAACCGACGTCTGTATACTGAAAAATGAACAAAAAAATTATCGTGGAGAAGAATAGACGACCTATTTTATACAAAATCCGTCTCTAAATAAATACAAAACGTCTTTAAATATATAAAATACGACGTTATTAAAACATACGACGTCCAATATATTTATATAACCGTCATGAAATAGTTTTTCCACTTCGTTTTTTCCATTACTA